TGAAATCCCAGTGTCTTCAGACAGCTGGGAGAGATGACTTATTCTCTAAATGGCCTCCTCCCCCTCCAATCACTACAAGCCTCGAGCTTTGCGATGGTGTCAGCCTGGGACGGGGGTGCTGTGGGTGGGAACTGAACCAGATGAAGAGATTGAATGTGAATATAGATTAAATCCGGGAGGAAACGTTTGCACTTGTTATTGGGATGTGATTTACTTTTGGGCCAGCAGCAGGTAGCTTAAGCCCTCATGCTGAGCTTAAGGCTTGGCCACTGGAGGTTCAGCCACTGCAACTCAGGTTAGAGAGCCATCAGACCACATAGGGTGCTTGTTACAAAGGCAGATCTCTCGGTGTGATTCTTCAGGTGTGCGCTGATTCTCCTGCTAGAGATCCATGGGCTACATTTTGCCAAACACTGAGCTGGTGTGTCCCAGGGAAATGTGGACAGGGGGAAACGTGAGGGATGCTCTCAGCCAGGATATGGGGGTATGCCCAGGAGGCACCAGGACTCCTTTCCATCGGACATTCCCGAGAAGGAAGGAGGTCAGCCTGGAGTTCCAGTGGCATGAGATCACAGACTCAAAGACATTTAGAGTCACAGAAACATAGGCTCTTATTCATAATGGAATAAAGACTCTTGAAATAATAGAATGCAGGTCTCAGTTGGGAGAGCATGGGACTCTTGATCTCAGGATCATGAGTTCGAGCCCCACGCTGGGCATGGAGCCTACTTTAAAAAATAAAATAATAAAAAAAATAATAGAATGTATTAGCAGTAGAGCTTAGCAGTTAAGAATAAGTCGTATTCGGAGTTTGACTTTGCTTCATTAGCTGAATAAGTGACATGGAGTTACTTCATCTCTCTGAGCTTCTTTCCTCATTCATTGGATGGACATATCCAGAAGTATAATATAATGCTCTCCAGCACTGTTGTGACATATAAATGAGTGAGAGCGTTCAACGGACATGGCACTGAGTCTGACACAGGGTAAGGGATCCAGATGCTCTTATTATCATTAGCAAGGTCAGAGGATCTTAGAACCAAAAGTGATCATAGAGATTATTGAGCGAGCCCGGTGGCCATGTAAGTGACTCCCAGTGGAGAGGGATCAATAAAGGAAGAAGACTCCCTTGGTTCAGCCTCTCCTCTCAACCTACCGTCCTACTGGGGTGCTCCCCAGCCGAGGGAAGGGGCACTGTGGCCATCAAGGAAGTTTGGAGGGCCAGCTCCTTGAGACTGTTCGAACCGGGGAATGTCATCTTTCTTTGTTTCCTGATCCCCCCTTTGCAGAGCTCACATGCCAGGTGTCTGTGGGCACCAGCAGGCTCAGCCGGGGAGAGGGGGGCTGTGTCCTCCCTCCCCCTGCTCCGGTGTTTAATCAAAACAGTATTCAAAATATGATTCTGGGAGATTATATTGGGAGATTTGCAGGAGGCTGTCAGTGGGGGCAGAGATGGTGGGAACAGATTGCCACTGGGGGCCCAAGGCTGGGATAATCGCAGGCTCAGACGTACCTTTCTCAGGCCTTCACCCTTATTCCTGGAGCTCCCCACCAGCACTGGAGCAGACACTGCACCAGGATGGAGCACCAGCTCCTCTTGGTATCTTACAGCTGGGGAAACTGAGAGGGGAAAGGGTGTGTCCACAGCCACAGCAAAGTAGCCATGGCACTGAGATGCTCAAGCTCTTGTCTGAGATTCCAGCCACTCTTTTCTGCCCTTCCTATACCCACTGTCTGCCGCCAGGCTCTAGGCCTAGATCCTGGGACAACCCTGGGCTGCAGCCTCCTGCTCGGGGTTGGGAGAGGTGGGGAGCAGCTAGGCCTCATAGACAGGGGCTGGGAAGATGACTTCCTGAGGTCCTGGGTGGGGAGGCAGGCAGATCCAAGCGGGCCTCCTTTCCCAGGACTCATTGTTCTGTAAAAGGCTGGACGGCTGGTCACAGAGTACAGGTCAAAGCTCTCTTGTCCACCAGGATCAGCCACATGACCTGGGGCTTAGGTGCATCTCTGCTCTTTGGCCTTCAGGGTCTGTCTCCAGATGCTGACTCAGTGTGGTGTTAAGGGCCCCTCTCCCTTCCACAAAATGGCTAGCTGGAGCCCCACTCCCAGCCGGGGGCCCTCTGAAAGCGCTTCTGCGGACTCCGCAGCCTCTGGAGGGGTCTACCTGGCTCCCCAGGAGGGGGTGGGGTCGAGAGAGCCTTGAAAGAAACCTCCAGCTAATGCTCTTTATTACAAGCGTTAATCCCGCAAAGCCGACTGGAAATAATGTTTATCTTTTCGCAGTTTAATTTCCCGGACCCTAAGCCGCGGGTCAGTGAGGGCGACTGGAGGTCCCCGGGGAGTTGGAGGGTAGGAGCAGCTGTTGCCCAGAAGCAAAGAGGAAAGCAGGGAAGGGATCACCCAGGGGAAGCGAAGGAAAGGAGCATGACCCGGAGCTGGGGTCCCTCCCCACCACGGATTCCCGTGTGACCCTGAGCCAGTCCCCTGCCCTTCCGTTTGGCCTCAGTTTGCTCATCTGAGGAAGAGGTTTGTATTTTGTAATTCGTGATCTCTAAAGCCCCTGCCGGCCCCCATCATTCTATTAAAAAAGAAGACAGCATGGGGCTGGGAGGTGGCTTGCCACCTGTTCCCCACTGTTTTTCCAACTGCTCTTTCTCCGCAGCCTCCAAGGGGGTCTTAAAATCTCTTCCGAGGAGGCGAAGACTCGGGCCCTTCCTGCCCCAGACGTCACTGCCAGGCCCTGGTTTGGAAGCCGTCACCCGGCCTGGGTGGCCCAGGCTGGAGCCCAGCGGTGGAGACACAGCTCCCCCAGGATCCGGTCGGCGGGCGCACACCCCGGCTGTCCAAGCCCGCATCAGCTCCCCGCAGCTCCCCTCTAGAGCCCCATCCCGGGTTCACCTCCCTCTCTCCCCACGAGCAGCAGCCAGGTTCCTCGCTGGCTCAAGCCCTAGGCCACCAGGCCGGGGACGCGAACTCGCGCCGCGCGCGGGCGGCTTTTCCCAACCCTCCTCCCCCCAGCCCGGCTCCAGACGCTGCTTGCCGCGGGGCACCGAGTCCCCTTCCCAGCCCGTCAGCTCCCATTGGTTGGCCTGTACCGGAAGTGATTGCTGACTCTTGATTAAATGGAAAGAATGCTCCCTCTTGTCTCCCAGGGACCCAGCAAGCTGTCACCCTTTGCCATTTGGTCCGACGGGAGGAGCGCGGGGATCCCAGCTGGGTGCCAAGGGTCCGCCAGCATTATTCCCATCGCCCCTCCTCCCAGTAAACTAAAACCCAAGTAGGAGCCCGGAAACATACAGTTTCCAAATATCCCGACTGCTCCCCCACCTCCGACCTCCCAGTTTGCGTTCCCCTCCTCCAACGCCCACGAATCCGCCAGGCGTCTCCCCGCTGGGCGAGTTAGGTACAAGGCAGCTTCAGAGGCGCTGCGCGCTAGGCGCCGCGGCCTTGTCCGTAACCTCGCCAGTTCCTCTCCCTGCCCTGAAAGAGACCGAGGTTTGCAGCTCACGCCTCCCAGTCCCCGGAATCCCTGGCCGCATTCCATCCTCCCCTCCACCCTGGCCTCTCCCAGCGCCCCTGGCACAGACACGCCACACAGGTGGGGTTTGGTTTGATTATTTTTGAGGACACAAGGAATGGGGAGGAGGAGAAGACCCAGGTGGTCCTTAGGGGCCAGGTCAGCGCTGAAATTACACAGTGAAAGGGGGGCGGGGTGGGGGTGAGCAGGAGAAGGAGTTGCTTCAGACCCTGTATCAAGAGGAGGGAGGGAGACTTGGTGTACCGAGTGGGTGCACAGGGCGGACTCGCCCAGCCTTCCCACTTGGCCTTCCCCAAGGCGTCCTGGGCGTCACCGCCTCCCAGCGGGTCTGGCGCGTTGCACGTCCGCCTGCCACTCCCAGCTCTGCGTGCAAGAAGAGCCGGTAGAAGGGTTTCTGTGTGTTTTGTCTGTCTCTTGGGTGAAGTGAGAGCTCCCCCCTCCCCAAGGCCCTGGCCAGGTCTCCCAGCTTCTGGGCATGGAAGTGAGTTCGAAAAGTAGGACTTCTTTCCAAGATCCTTCCGCAAATCGCAGCCATTGCGCTAACCTGCTGAGAGAGGAAAGGTTGATTAAAACCCGAAGGGCCGCTTGGTGGCGATTTCTAGGAAATCGGAGGTTGCTGGTGTCTCATCCGAAGGGAATCCAAGGTCTAGAGGCAATTTGCTTGCCAGAAGGAACTTTTGGACCCCGTTATGTGTAAATTAAAAAAACCGCGTAACCCAGTTTTGTCAGCCAGTGGCTACTCCTGAGAGAAATTACTGCAAAGAGCAGAATCTGACAGTAATTGCTGGAGGCTGCCTGATGCTTGGGGGATGTCCCTTTGTGGGGTGCAATTCCCTTCCACCAGGCACAGCCAGGGGCCGGAGACACTGATTGGCAGTCACCCCCTGCAGGCGGTGAGCTCTGGGGGATGAGTGCTCTCCAGGGACAGCACCAAGCCTGGGCTACACTCTCCAGGGGGCTTAGGGGGCCTCGGGCAGGGCTGCCCGCTGGACTTCAGCACCGGCCTTAAACCAATTGCTGTCTCTGGCCCGTCCCCCCAGACTTCTTAGAAAGCCCTGGTTCCTGCCCAGCCCTAGCAAAACTCTTGGTAGAAGAAGGGCAGGGGCCAGCTGGCCTCCTCCGAAGGACAGGCAGGGGACAAGGGTGTCTGAGCCAGAAGGTCATGATGGTGCCCACCTGGCCCATTCGGCAGAACGAGGGACACCAGGGCAGAGAGCTAGGTTGCCCATCTTCTCCATGACTTCCTAAGTGATCCTAGGTAAGTTACCGTCTCACCCTGAGCTTCTTACTATTATTTGGTTTTAAAAGGAGGGGGGCCCGGTACTTTTAGTCCTAAGCTGCTGTTTCAAGGAGAGCTGTGGGACAATCCCGCTCCGGGTCTGAACACCAGCATGCGGGAGAGGCAGAGAGGCGGTGCGCTGGCTGGGACTGACACACCCCAGCGCTGTTGGGGACCCACTACCTTCTGCTCCAGACGGGTACTGGCAGTGCACTGCGGGCTCCCTCCGCCGCGGGCACTGCGCACAGTTCATCGGCAGCCCCTGAGGGGCAAAGGGGCGGTTTCCAAAGGCTTTGGCTACTCGGGAAGACTCTGCGCACACGGAGTCTCTGGGGATGGCGGGCCGGCCGCCCGCGCCTGCAGGCTGTCCCGGAATCAGACGGCACTCGGGACTTCGCGGCCTGGGAAGGGTTGGAGCTGCACCTTCGACCGCGCCGGCGGCGGCCGCAGTGTGCGCCAGAGACCAGATGCGCGGTTTCTCGCTGCAGGGGAAGTGCATGGTCAACGTGGGGCTCCCGGGCTCCGCCCGCAGGAAGTCAGCTTCTCCCGACCCCGGGGGCTCCGGGAACGAGAAGGGGCGCGCCGCCAGGCCGCACTCCCGGCGCTGCAGCCGGGCCTCCCGAGCGGCGCCGCAGGCCGCGGGCAGCGACTGCGAGTCTTTATGGAACTCAGCCAGCCTGTCCGCAGCTGTGGCCACTGCCTCCTTTTCTTCGGCCTCCTCCTCCTCCTCTTCCTCCAGGTCTTCCAGGTCACTCAGCCGGAGCCCTGGAGCCTCCTGGCTGGCAGTTCCATCTGCAGGAGATCAGGAGCGAGTGAGAAAAGCCCCAGGCCCCAAGGGAAATCCGCGGGAGTGCCCATCCCTGAGAAGCTTTTAGCAAGATGGCTCTGCACTTAGGGCATTCTTGGCGTTATGCACCAGGCTGGCCCAACCCTCTCTTACAGTTGCCCCAGGGCTCCAGCTTGCCCCTCCTGGGAAAGAATTGAGGCCCTAGCTCTGCCCCCACTCCTTGGAAGACTCCTCCTTTCCAGTGGAAGGAAACCACCACTTTTCACTGCCTAGGACCTGGATCTCTGTTTCTCCCCCATAAATCAAGCAGACACCCAAGGGGACTTCCCCACCCCCACCCCCACCCCACCCTCCCCCGCCCAATTTCAACACCCAGAGGGAGCTGGTGTGTATTATTTAATTCAGCAAATATTTACTGAGTGTCATCTATGTGCCAGACATCATTAGGCATTTAGGTCTTAGGAACTTAGGGAATACAGCAGTAAGACACTTTTTAGTGGAGCTGCTGTTCTCCAAAGGGGCAGACAGATCTCAAGTACCTTCCCATAGCGGTAAGTATGGCAAACGAAATACAATAGGCCGATGTCATAGGGAATAACTGGGGAGCTAAATTAGCCTGGGTGGCCAGGAGGGGCTTTTCCCAGCTCACACTTCAGCAGTCAAGAAGAAGCCAGTTAGGTAGGGAATTCCAGGCAGAGGGAACTGCCCAGGCAAAGGCCCAGAAGTCTGGGGTGGGGGTGGGGGGCGGGTACAAGTGCAAGGGTAAGTCAGGGAGTACCACCCTAAAAGCTGTCCCACCAGGCAGCTGCAAAAGTGCAATGGGCCTGACAGATGGCTGGGAAAACCCTAAGGCGCGGTGGTGAGCGTTTTTGGTACCTTTGGTGTCACAGTTCCGGCAGCCCAGGGACTCCTCTGTTCCACTCTCAGTCCTCCTCTCCTCGCTGCCTTTGTTCTTGGGCGCCCACGTCATCTTGTTCTCCTTCTTGAGGCGCCGGCGCGCGTTGGCGAACCAGGTGGACACCTGGGTGAGGGTCATCCTGGTGATGATGGCCAGCATGATCTTCTCGCCCTTGGTGGGGTAGGGGTTCTTGCGGTGCTCGTTGAGCCAGGCCTTGAGCGTGCTCGTGGTCTCCCGGGTGGCGTTCTTCCGGCGGCCCGTGCCGCTCAACTCCACTGCTCCATACCTGGGGGGAGAACCTGGCTCACAGTTCTGGGTCTGAGAACCTGGGGCTGCAGGCAGGAGACAGTCTGAGGCCTGGCAATGAGATTCAGCGCTCCTCCCTCCCCATGCACCACCCCCACCAACCCTTCCCAGGCTCTTCCCAGATGGGCCCTGTGGCAGGGGAGTGGGGAGGACTTGCAAGGCCAGCTACCAATGCACCCCATGCCTTACCCGTCATACTGGTACGGCCCCAGAGTCGGCTCATAGGGATAATAGGCTCCTGGTTGCGCCAGGCCAGGTGTAAAGTTCCCTGCAGCCTCTTTAAATTCATACTGTGGATTCTGGTGGGGGCGGGGTGGGAAGAGAGAATTCAGGACAACATTTGGGGTAGAGGCTGGGTGGCATAGTTGCTAAAGGTGTGAACCCTGGAGTAAAAGTCTGGTTCAAATCCCAGGATCACCACTCCCATTGGCTATGTGATCTTGGGCACAGTTGTTTAACTGCTCTATGCCTCAGTTTCCCCTTGGTAACTGGGAATAACGATAGTACCTGTAGGGTACTGAAGAAGAGCATTCGGCAGAATTCCTGGTGCAGACTGGGCAATAGTTAGATATTAGCTCTTACTAGTATTGTTACTACTTGTGACAACCCCCAACCCCTTCTCTACCAGCTGGGGAACTTCCCTGCCTTAACTCTCTCCTTCCAGAGCTATTTCCTGGCCCTTTGTATCTTTGTGACTTTGGGCAAGGTATTTGAACCCTTCTACATCTCAACATCCTCATCCCGAAACTGAGACTTGCCTACCTCACAGAATTAATAGAAGCACAGATGTTTTTTAATCAGAATGGCATTCTGCAAAGTGTAAAATGCTGCAAAGATGTGTTTTTCCCCTCCCCCCACCCCCGGCTATACACAATCCTACCCAATTCCTTCCCTCGGGGTTTTGCCTCCTTCCAAGATTTTCCCTGGAGGTGTCACGCTGAGTTTCCCCCTTTGCTGCAGTTCATGCCCCCCAGGCCAGATGGGTCCTGGCGCACAGACCCGGGCTCCGTGCGGTGTACTCACCAGCGCCCCGTACAGCGCGGGCGGCTCTGGGCTGTAGGGCAGGTAGCCTGGGTAGCTCGGGGCAGCTGCGGCGGCGGCGGCGTATGGGGCTCCATAGATGCCCAAGGCCGCGCTCAGCTCCGGCCGCGCACTGCCCAGCAGCCGACCGTCGTAGGACGCGCAGCAGAGAGCGGCCGCCGGGGTGGAGCCTGAGGCCACATCTGGGACGGAGCGCGGGCCGGATTCGCAGCAAGTGGCGCTGGAACTTGCAGACACCAGAAACTATGGGCGAGAGAGAGGTGCACTGCCGGATCACTCCCTCATTCCACATTAACTACATGCCACCGTGTGCGGAGCATTCTGCTGGGATGGGAATTATCTGAAGATGCAATTTATTCAAACCGCCCTTATAGATACTCCTAAAACGTTGCTAAGGCTCCAGAGTCCCAGGGGTCCAGGCGATGGGAACGTTCTGAAAGGCGAATTACAGGAGCCTAACTCCGCTGGTTCCCTAGCCGATCCCTCCTCCCGCCCCCCATCGTAGGGATCCTAAAAGGCAGAGCTAGAAGTTGGCCTTAGAGACCACCATGACGTCTTACACCTGCTCCCATTTTATAGATCGGGAATGAGGACCAGGGAGATTTGTTCCAAGATCACAAGGCAGGCCAGAGGTCAAGTTGCAACCAGAACCCACAATCTGGGCAGAAGCTGGAGAAGAGCGGTGGGTGTCCCCAGAATTTCCCCAGGAAACCCTTGTCACTGCACAACACCCACCCTAATCTGGAAAAATCGAGGGAACCGGAAGCAGAGAGCTCGGACCCACTCAAAGAAGGGAGAGAGGGTAAGAACAGAAGTCAACAAGCAAACAACCGAAAAATGGTGAGGAGGGCTCTCGGGGTCACCTCGGATATCTGTACAATAAGGCGGCCTGTCTGGAAGATCTGGAGATCCCACCCACCTCGCCGAGCTCATGGATGGTGCCCAAGTTTCGGGTCACACGATTTTCCAGCTTGCACCGGGGGAGTGGAACGTTCTCGGACAGAGACTGAGGGTGTCCGAGAGGGTCTGTGGTACATCGTACCTGCTCAGTCTGGTTTCCCCCGAGACTCGTGAGAAAGGAGGGCGCTCAGCGGCGGGCGCGTGCACTGGGCACCCGCCCCCCCCCCAGTCTGTCCCCATCCCCCATGGAGGCACTTCTTACCTGGGAAGCGCCGCCGTACGGGTGTCCAAAGTGCGGGAAGGACATGGTGGTTGTCCCTGGACCGCCTCCTTCTCTTGAGAGTTCCTGCCTCAGCCCCGCGATTCTGCGCCTCCAGCCGTGCGCCGCCTCGGTTCCTTACGCGGCTGCGGGTGCCCAGGGCCGGGTCCTCCGCCCGCTTGGCACGACTGGAGGCAGAGCCGAGGGCAGTCCGGCTGCCGAGCCCTGCGCTCCAGAAGGCGCCCCTCCGGCCCGCGTGGTCCGGAAGACAGAAGGGCCCATGGATGGGCAAGGAAAAGGAGAGGATGCGGGTTCCCAAAGTCGCGCTGTGGCGAGGCAAGGTGAGGCGCGGCGCGGGGCTGTGCGGCTCCCGAGGTGTCCCAGTCCAAGGTGGCCAGAGGCTCAATGTGACGTCACGGTAATCCCGGGCCGCCAGGCGGGCCCCCGGGCCCTGGGGCCCCGGGCCACCAAGCGTGCCAAGCGCAGCCAGCCCGTGCGCGCGCGCGCACTCTCACCCACACTCACACTTGTTCTGGGAGGTTTGTGCTGCTGGTGAGGAACGTCAAAGACCCCGGCCCTCTCAGATGGGCACTGGATCCTACCCCTTTTCGCCTTAAGCTCACGCGCGCGCGCGCACACACACACGATCCCTCCAAATTACCCGGGAGAAGTAGGAGAAACGCCTCCCTCTGTGCGGCGCAGGCCCCGGGCGCAGCTCGTTTACCTCCTCCCCTGCGGCCCGGAGGAGGAGAGAAGCGAGCCGGGCCGCGAGGGGGGAGAGAATACAAAAAGGAGAGATAAGAGAAAAAAAGAGGAGAAAAGTGGGGGAGAAAGGCAAGAGGGAGAAGGAGGAGGGGAGAGGAGAGAGATGAGGAGTCTAAGTGAACAGAGGCGCGCGGGGGAGGGGAGGGAACAGGGGTGGGCGAAGGCTGGGCGGAGGTTGAGCACTGGCAGGTGGAGGAGAGCGGCGGCTCCGGGGAGAAGCCTCCAGCCCGGCTCCCCCGCCCCTCCGCTGCGGGAAAGTTTGTTCTCGCCACAGGCCCCGCACTCTTTGGGGCCGAGCCTGGGCAGCGTCGGTGGGTCCCACTGGCCCGCTCGTCTTTGTCCTCCGGAATCTGGTTCTCCACCCCAGCCCCCCCAGGACTCTAGCTAGATCCAGGCTCTTCCAGCCCTGGTCTTTGCCAGGGTCTCGACCCTGGGGCTTCTCTGCAGCCTTCTGGCCCTCCAACAGGCCGAATAGCGCCCCCTCGAGGCCATGGTTCAGTTCCCCTCGGACTCCGCCTGGAAGCGCGCTCAGTCTGACCCTTGGTATCTGCAGGCGGGGGGCGAACACCCCTAGACATCTCCTCTGAAGGCGAGGCTTGGCTGCTTCCTGCGCACCGACCGCTGTGTCCACGGGGGAGCCGGGGAGCCACAGGAAGGCGCCGGGGCCGAGCTGCAGCCGCTGCGCTCCGCTGGGGGTGGCGCTGGCGAGCCGCGGTTCAGCGCGCGGGGACGGCCTCCCGCGCCCCGCGCTCCGCCGCGACGGCTCCGGGTTGGGCCCAGCGATCTGATCACCCCCCCTCCAACCCAGGGGTCCTCAAAGGGCCGCTGAGGGGCGGAGGAGCTCGTCTGTGCCTGGAGGGGGCTGCGTCCTCTAGGCCTGGCTCCGGACCCGCGGCCGCTAGTTGGTGAGCCCTGTAGATTCTGCGCAACCAAAGGCTCAATCCCCAGGCCGGGAGCCTATGCACCGAGGGCCGCCAACCCGCGACGTTGGGGTGGGGGTGGGGGCGAGGGCGAAAAGGGGCATCTAGCCTAGTGGGGGGAGGTCTTCGGGGGATGCTGCCGATATCCGAATGGAACTCAGGCTTTGGGGTTGGCAGGCCAGAAACCTCAAAAGTCCCGCCTTTCACTCATAGGTTCAGGGAGGGCACTTTACAATGTACAAAACGCACTCCCAGGTCCTCGCTGTACCTTCCCGCAGGAATCCCGAGGGACTGGTTCAAGGGCCCAGTTGTATTTTCTAGTTGAAACGCAAGAACGTGTGGCCCAGAGGTCAGGAACAACCTGGGTCTCTGTCCTGCGTTTTTGCGAGGCGAAGAGGAAGCCCAGTGACCAGGCAAAATCTAGGGCCCTGGCCCAGGATCCCTGGCCGCGAGTTTTCCTCTGGAACCTTGCAGAGGGAACCGGTAGGCCCCACAAGCCAGCTACCTCTTTGGAACAACATTGGCTCCCCCCGCCCTACCCCAGTACAGATGGTGCAGACGGGCCAGGCTCTACAGACCCTGCAAACCGCACACTCCTCCGCCTGAGATTATTGATATGAGGACAAGCTTCATTCTAAATACTAACGAACCCAGGCAGGTTTCCTGGAGGCCGCTGCTGAGTGTCGTTACCTTGGAGAAACCTTGCGTTCAACCCGGGAATCTCCCAGTTAGAAAAAGAATTATCGTTATCTCCGGATTGATTTAGTGATAAAAAGGCCCTGTAATAGATAGATCCCTTGATTTTTTTCAAAATGCACTTTGGAGCCATCCACACATTTGCAGCGTGGATACATCTAAGCTTTTTTTTTTTTTTTTTAAAGTAAGAATTGGAGAGAATTCATTAAATTAGTCCCTTGGGGAAGATTACTGCTAATTAATTAATTGCAAACATTTCCAGAGGGAAGGTATGTCAATTGTAAAGTAATAAAATTAGATAGTTGAAATACTTACTCAGCAACTTTGATCACCCATTCGTTCCTAAGCAGATTTTTTTTTTTTTTTTTATGACAGAAAAATGGGATGGTGGTGAAGAAAAACCATTAGTTATGTCCCCTGGCGATCTGGTTGCAAAGGAGAAGCTACCATATAGAATGTATTGATTTTTCGCTGATTTATAAGACCTCTGCGGTATCAATGCTGTGTGCAGGGCCTCCAGGCCTACCTCTTGTCTTTGCTCTCTAGGATTAGAGAAAAAGCAACAAGATTTTTCAAGAGGAAAAAAAAAAACAAGAGGGAGAGAGAGGAAACGCAGTGGAGAAGTAAATTGGGAAGGTAGGACTCTGATGGTTCCTGGGTGTTTTTCTTCTTATGTAGAAAAGGAAAACAAACCAAAGAGCAGGTTTTATGTGAAGGCAGCTTTCTATTGTCTTCAAAGTCACTTTACCATATCAGAGTGTCTTGGGGAGGAAGGCTGCCACTTGCAGGCATGGGAGACCTTGAGTTCTTTCTTTCTCAGGGAGACGCTAGACCCACAGCAAACTGACCTGGTGCCCCTGGGGTTTGATTGTGACCCCCTGGAGCGTGAAGTGGGGTTCCCTAAAAACAGTTCGTATGAAGTGTGTTCTCTTCCCATTATTTTCAGAGCCTCATCACAAAACAGAGCTAGTGGGTTAAACCAATATGGACCTTTGTCTGGCAGAGACCTCAGGTAAAAACAAGTCTTTTTTAGAAAGTCTGGTTTAAGGAAGTGGTCACCGAATCTGTTCTCATCCTCCTGACTGTGGACAGACACTCACTTTGGCACCTGGGGGCTCTGGCTTTTCTTTGCTTTGTTTAGTGCTGATTAATTTAGTTTTGGGAAAAATGCCCAATTGTGTGTGTGTGTCCGCCTAGAATTGTACTGAAGCAAGGAGACAAACTTATGAAGTGCAGACCCTCCCAGTTATATATGAGGGAGTCATTCCACCCAAAGTATTTTACACAAATGGTACAGATCCTTTTGTTGTATTATGCAACATGGCCTGATATTTCCTCTAGCTGCTCATTAAAACAAATATGAATAAAAGAAATAGTCAAAGGCCTATTTGGAGCATGGGGAGTACTCATCCACATTGTTTATTTGAAGTTCATGTTGCTCTGCTTTAAATTCACTGAAGGTCTTGAGCAGGCAGAGTAAAGGATGTGTCTTTGAGCAAGAAACAGACTCTTAATTATAGAGAACAAACAGGTGGTTACCAGAGGGGGGTGGGTGGGGGATGAGGGAAATAGGTGATGGGGATGAAGGAATGCACTTTCTGTGATGAGCACCGGGTAACGTATGGAAGTGTTGAATTTCTATATTGTACACCTGAAACTAATATCACACTGTATGCTAACTAATTGGAATTAAAATAAAAACTTCAAAAAAAAAGGGATGTGTCTCTGACAATAAACTTGAATCCAACACACACACACACACACACACATACACGAATCCTATTGTATAATTTTGGGTTAAATATCCCTCATTTCCTGATGTTTTATAAAGACAGCAGATTTTACAGGGGGCGGGGGTGAATAACAACCCAGAAACGCCCCAAATCCAGGTCCAATGCCTCAAATCACAGATGGAATGTGTAAGTCTACGGGCACAGTAACATAGACGAAAATGTGCCAAATTATATTTTTTTAAGTATGGATTTTTTTTAGTGACTGTTTTTGAACGGAGAAGAATGAAATTTCCTCAAATCTATGCATGAATGGACAAGTGCATCTGGACAGATGCATCTATAATTTATACTGATCAGTCACTGCAGGTCTCCCCGAGTAAAGCCGAAATGAACACTAATTGTTTTGACGGAAGAGGTGTGCGTGGCATCTGATTGTGAAAGGTAATGAGCCCCTGCCTTGCCTGAGTACCTACTGTCAACAGCAACCTTGGCATCAGGAGCAAAAAATAAAAAGGCAATCATTCCTTTTTTGCCACCTTGTCAGGAAGGTGGCAAACAGAAGAAATGAATTTCTGAACAAAGTAAAACAACGAGATCTAATGCAGAGGTCCTGGTGTGTCAGCAAAGCAGGTACAAACCTGAGCTTAGAGTTAACAGTCATAGCTTGTTGATAATAAAATTCCTTTGCATTTCTAGTGTGCTTGGGAGCTATTCTAAGCACCTCTGCTTTATCTGTGTTAAGGCTCAGGGTAAGGAGTTGGAGACGTGAGAAACAAATCCAAGATCACATCACCCAGTGGATGACAGAGGAGGGACCGGAATCTGGAATCCCCGGACTTTGGGTCTTTCCTCAAGAGTATTTCAAATACACATCAAGCCAGACACAGCCAGGAGATGTGGTTAACTCGAACTGGACTCCGAGAATTCACATGTAGTGCCCTGTGATGACACAGTGTAATTTAGCAGAGAAAATGTCTAAAGAGGTGCCACTGGAAGCACACCAATTCCAGATCTCTATGACATGCTTTTCTATCAGCCTGTATTATGAAAGCACTTACATAATAATTTGGGGGTTTTAGCAATTTGATATGGATCATCCATTAAAATAGAAAATAGCAAGCAGACTCAGCTGTGACTGAGAAGTATATTAAAAAAAAAAACAAAAACAAGAATAAGAAAAAAAAAAAACCCCTAAAAAGTCCAGCCAAGTTTAAGGCTATCTGTCTACACTTGTTTAAAAAAACAAGGAACAGAATTTCTTTAGTGACTGTTGTCAGGACGAGATCAGTTTTCTTAAGCTTTGTTTTTGCATCAGTAGACAGAGGGTTTGGTGCATTAAGTTCTTGCTCAGGAAGCAGTTTTTGTATATAGAAAGTCTTGATTATTTTTATCCTGTGGAGGTTAACATCTTTCTAATGATAAGCTTAAGGCATATCGTGTTTTCATGGAATTGAAATGGAAAGTAAAC